AGAGTCCCCTCAGACACAGGCCCGAGCAGTGTTTATAATCTGCATCAATCTCAGGCAGGGTTTTATTGCTGTTGTTGTTTTAACCAAAGTTCAGTCAAAGAATGAGGATCTCCTTCCTTCCCCTACCCCCACTTCCTCACTTCCTCCCACTCTCCTTCCACTAGGAGTTTTCTGTATAGTTTATGGTTTGTCACTGCTATTCAGAAAACAGTGGTGGTGCCAGTCCCCGCTACATGCTGCCAGTTCTAACCTAGAGGGAAGTCAGTGAGTGGTGAACCTGTAAAGGTATATAACACTCAGGGACCCCTTTGGGACTCAAGGTATGGAACACAGGCCAAGCAGACATAGCTTCAGTTGTGTTTGACCCCATGGACTGTAGCCTGCCAGGCTTCTCTGTCCATGGGATTCTCTAGGCAAGAATAGAATGGGTTGCCACGCCCTCCTCCAGGGGATCTTCCCAACCCAGGGATCGAACCCCTATTTCTTATGTCTCCTGCATTGGCAGGTGGGTTTTTTTAATCACTGGGAAGCCCCCCAGGCTGAGAGGCTGAGCCTACAGAAAAAGACATCATTAAAGACACAGAAGCTACCATAGCAGAGAGAAAAATCATTGTAGACATGGAGTCTGTTGTTGAGAAACAAATTCATACTCCAGAGGGAAGTTGCTGGGTATTGCCTAGAAAGAACAATGCAGAAGAAAGGTTTGGTATTCTGTGCCCCAGCCTGGCCTCTGCATTGCAAAGGGGGAGGTATATGATGGTGGAGGTGGGGTGGGGAGGTGCTGTGAGCTCTCTGTGTGACTCTGATCCCTGGAGTCAGGAAGGCCTATGTTCCACAGTAAAGGGGTAGGCGGTGGCTGCAAAGACAAGGGCTTCTGCAAAGAGAATCCAGTACAGATGCCATAGAACTTGAGGGACTTGGAGTCACCTAACTCTGAGAATAAAGGGCGTGTGAACTTGTGCTTGGGAGAGGTCAGGTTGCAAGGGACCCAGGCTGAGCTTTGTGGGGATTAAAAATGATAAAAGGTTAAATAGCTACTGAAAGTTTGTTATGTACCAATGCTCAGATACATAAATAAATACGATTTCACTGAATCCTCAAAACAACCTGTGAGGTAAACCTGATGTCCTTTGGGCCAGGAAGCAGAAACACAGAAACTGAAGCAATTTGCCAGACACACATCAATGAAGTTGGTCTCAAGCCTGAGTGGGTGATTTAAAAAACCACACTCTAGGTATTCCTTTTTATGGCTGAGTAATATTCCATTGTTATATGCACCACATATTCTTTATCCATTTCTTTCCATAAAGCTGGTTCATTTTGCTATACAGTATAAACTAACACACCATTGTAAAGCAATTATACTCCAAAAAAAATTAATAAAAAATAAAAAGGCAGTGATGAAAACTTGGTAATCTTAAAAAGAAGAAGCCATGCTCAAACTGGGTGCTTCTTGCCCATTAATGTGCACACAGATCCCCAAGGAGCTTTTAAAATGCAGACTCTGACTCTATAGATCTAGGTGGAGAGGACTCTGACACCTCCCAAGGTGATGCCATTGCCACAGGTCCCCCCACACGCCCCACTTTGAGAAGCTGGGAATCTGCTCTGTGCCTTACTTATACAGGGTGTCATTCCAAACCATCTCTTAACTCTAGGCCTCCTCCTCTGCCTCCTTATTCATCTTCATCATTGCCATCACCTGAGTATTGAGTGCTTTGCTGTATTAGAATGGCCTTAAACTCATTAAGTTCATGATCTCATTAAAGCCCCATCAAATGCTATGAGGCAGGTGGCAACATTCCTCTTTTACCTACGATGAAACAGAGGCTTAGAAAGGTCATGTCAATGGCTTCAAACCACATAGGATGTAGTTGAGCCTAGATATAGAGTCTTAGGACTTCCCTGGTGGCATAGATGGTAAAGAATCTGCCTGTAATGTAGGAGACCTGGGTTCGATCCCTGGGTTGGGAAGATCCCCTGAAGATGGGAATGGCTACCTACTCCAGTATTCTTGGCTGGAGAATCCCGTGGACAGAGGAGCCTGGTGGGCTACAATCCATGGGGTTGCAAAGAGTTGGATATGACTGTGTGACTAACACACACACACAGAGTTTAGAGTCTTAGCTCTTAACGTGTCCCAAGGAACTGAGCACTCAAATAAAATGGGGCAGGAGAGATGGTACCTTCTGTTAGGGTTGCCTTTGTTTTTGGCTAAGGGATAGGGAGGGTGGGGATGGGCAGAGCTGAAATTTCTAGTCCTTCCTGCACTTTCTGGCTAGAGAGGAATTGCTTCAGATGAGCCTGGAATTGTCCTTCCCACTGAGTTCAGAGTCCTGTTTTATATATACAAGCAAATACCTTGCTGGGAACCAAAAACGAACAAACTGAACAACAACAACAAAATCCCAAAACAAGTCTTGGGAGCTGAAAAACTCTCCTTTTTAGCATCCAGGTAGGACAGTGAGGGAGAAAACACAACTATTAAGAGCTGGGATCAAACTTCTCCCTCTTTTGGCCTTGCCTCCAGCAGGGTCCTTCCTTCTCTTTCCCCAGACACCACAGAAAGAGCGCCAGTGATCCTTGTAATCGGCATCTCAGCAAGTACAGACATACTTGATTTCCTTACATGCCTATAATCCCTTTTTAAATCACATAAGGCTATTTGCCTTTATAAATCTTCCAAGCAGTGAGCTCCCTGGGATAATTATATGTAGTATATATTTATAGTTTTATTTCATAAGCCCAATTCAAATAAAAAACCAACATCTCTGCGCTCACTCCTCGATAATAATCTTCCCATTCCTTGGAAGTCTGCAACCTTTAAATTTTGACCCTTCCTTCGCTCTTGCTTCTTTAGTAAGAGCAGCCATGAAAATGGATGGGGGCTTTTGACTAGGCTTCACAACTGCCTTTCCTTGCTCCCTTGCTAGTTTTGGGAACAAGGGCAAGTTTACAAACTCCCTGCCTCAGTTTCCTTATCTGTAAAATGGGAACAATGACTGGGGTGGCTGTAATCTGATGGCTGTGGCACCTTAGTTGACTGATATGGCAGGCAATATTTTCATTCTCATGTCCCTCATGAGTCTTGTTGTTGTGAAGATGAAATAAGCTAAAACTATGTGAAGATGCCTGGAATAACAGATGACCAATGAATGTAGAATCTTCTTTGTTTCCAGTAATGGGAAATAATAACTAGGATATGAGTGAGTTCTTCTCTATATCCCATGATTTTATAGTGTATCCTCCATCCGAACATCAAGCCATCATCTTTGTAAAACTGCTAATTGCTAAATCAGCCTGCGGCTCTGGGCAGGGATACGCTGTGCCTAGAACCAGTTCCCTCTTGTATCATTGCAGGTTTTTTTGTTTAGCTTAATTTTTGTGAATGTCTCCAGCTCTCTGGAAAGGCCCTACGCCAGCTGGTCTGTTCCTGCTATGTTTAATTCACCCCCATTAACCTGCTTGGTCAGCATATATTTCCATCTCCTTGCTGTGTTTTCAGGAGTGAGTCTGTCTGGAAAAAGCATTTATTATATTTACTTTAACTAGCCTCATTTGGCAAGGCGCTCTGGGATTTCAGTTCAGGAGGAAAACAGCTTTGATTATCCTGCCCTTGTTTACTCTCTGCACTCTTTGCTGTGGATCCCTTGTCTACCGAGATGACAAATGCTTTTGCGAGAAGCCAAGACACAGGATAAACAGTCTCTGTGAGCACACTACTGGCCTCTGGTCCATGGCTGTTTTGCACACTCTCCATCTAAAAACTGTGCCCCCATTTCCAGCCTTCTACCTTTCAGCTAAGCCTAGCAGGTAGGTTTTCCTGGATGGGTGTGTCTAAGGCCCAGGAAGAGCACTAGTTGGGCTCCACATCCCCATGGGGACACGGAATGCTCCCCAGTTAAGCATCATGGTGACCTGGGGCATCGTGTTAGTTCACACCACCATTATCTCTCCCTTTGGCTCCAAACAGCCTCCTGACCACGTTCTGCCTCTGACCTTGCCCTCCTCCTGTCTGTTCTCCACTGTAGCTGGATGAATCTGCATTGCATCACCTATTTGAGACCTTTCAACAGCTCCTCACTCTCACTCTTTACAGGGTGCAGAAGGCATGACCAGGCTCTTAATTTATCAACTTATCCCTGGCTTCTTGTAGCCTGTGTGCAGCTGCTCTCATTCATTCATGCATACATTTACCATTTATTCACCACTTATCCAGGACCTAGTAAGTGCTAGATGTTGTGCTAGATGCTGGGGAATCATGGTGATCAAAACCAGACATGATCCCCCTTTCACAGAGCTTCAGTCTAAGGTGGAGATTAACAACTTAATAATCATACCCACAAGCGCACAAGGATAACTTGAGAAGTGCTGTGAGGTGAGGGGTCACCAGCAAGCAGGATGACCTGAACTCACCTGGGAACCAGCCAGGGTTCCAGAGAAGTGACAGGTGACCTGAGAGCAGGAAGGGAAGCTGCCATCATGAGGTGTTGTGGGGGGAGAGAGCCTGATAAGCAGAGGGAATGGCATGTGCCAAGCCCTGGGGCAGGAGGGTGTTTGAGGAACTAAAAAAAGTAGGCCTGTTGGCCTGGAACAGCAAGAGCACCAGGAGATATGGGAGATGGAGGAGACTGGAGAAGATGGTAGGGAAACCAAGGCCATGGGAGGGTTTGGAGTTTATCACAAAAGCAATTGAAGTCCTTGAAATGGATGCACAATAGGATGGGAAATGTACTTTGAAAAGATCACTGGTGGAGTGAAGAGGACAACGGAGGGACCAGGAGAGAATGGGGGGTTATTGCAGTGGTGGAGACAAGATGTGACAGTAGCTTAGACCAGGGGATGGCAGTGCAATGGAGAACAGTAGATACATGCCATAGGTACTTGGTGGATTATATCAGAGGGATTGGACAATGGTTGGATGTGGGCTTGCAGGGCTGGAGAGAGGGCTGAGAGGAGCTCAGGAGCTGCTGTGCCCCCAGGAGCCAGGGCTTACTCACCGGTGAGCGTGGCTCTGCTGGTTGGTCCGATGCTTTTGGGGACCAGCAGCTCATGGTACTGCTCGCCCGCCAAGGTGCTGTACTCAACCTTGTACTCCTGAACCTCTGCCTCACTGTTGTCCCACTCCAGGTCAAGGCTGGTTGCTGTGCGGGAACCAACCCGCAGGTTCTTGGGGGCATCAATCTCTTAAAAAAAAAAGACATCACCAACATCACACAGGATAATGGGCATTTGCCGTGCATCTTGTACTTGAACAGGCTCTGGGGTAAGAGCCCACATCTCACCCTTTGCCTTTCGTTTGAGTGAACCCCAAGTGTTGCCCCTTAGCTTTTGGTCTGCCAGATTGGCCATGATAGATTCCATGGGCAGGCTGGAGAGTTTTATTTGGTAGTTAGACATAAATACACTTTACACGTCCCCCATTCTCATTCAGGAGTTTGTTCTACTGGTGTTCTAGAAATTGAAAAATGAACTGGTTAGTATCATAAGCCTGAGACTAAGGGAATTCCTGGAAGGATGAAATCAGAGATGGCACCCAAGTGATTGAGATGAAAGATTATAATTTCAAATTTGATCACCAAGCAACAAAACAGAGGATTGGTTGCAACCTGAAGTATAAGATGTCTTCCCTTGGATTTACTTGCGTAGACATGCTGAAAGGTTTGCACAGAGAGAGGGTATGCGATATAGTGGAAATCAGTCAGCTTTGGAGTCAGGTCTCAGTTTGATCCCACTTCTAATTCTTAGTGTAATGGGACCATAGGCTGGGCCTTGATGGTCACATCTGTAAGATGGGCCAACAATACTGCTTTGCTAGTTGTAAAGATGAGACAATGCATGTGGAAGTGTGCAGTTTGGGGACTGGTACAAAATTAGGTGTCCAAGCCCTGGGCTGACTTACTGGTGCTTCCACAATTCTCCCTGAGTTCTAACAGCCTGGCACCCCCATGCCCGCTCCCTGGAGTTCCAAGAACTCCACAGTAATGAAAAGACCTCTAGCATTGGGGTCTCTTCCTCAACTCTGGGCTGGTTCTCTCTCCCAGGACTGGTCATTCTGGCAGGCTTATTTGGGCAGAAACAGCATAAAACAATTTACAGGGTAAGAAGGTACTGTCTTGACAAACTGCCACTTAAAAAGTTCTAACTAGGTCTTGACTTTGAGACTTGAACTTAACTTTGGAGTGGACCAGTCATTTGTTCTGGGAAAACCTCAAGTGGACTGTTTTACTTTGTAAATGCCAGGCAAGTCTCCACCAATTGTTCTTTCAGAAGATGGGATGTTGTGAATCAGTCTGAGCGCAGCTGCTGCAGAGTGAGAAGGGTTCTGTTTAGGGATGTAAATTGGGTGAATCTCTTAGCAGATTTATGCCTCTGCAGCTTATTTTTCTGAGAAATGTTTCCTTACTCAGTGTGGGTTTAGCATGCGGGAAACCATGCATTCTGCACGTGCTGTGTGTGTAATTTCTCCAGCAATTGTATGGAGAAAGGAGCTTGAGTAGAGGGGCATGTGGGAGGAATGCTCTGGGCTGCAGGTCCCTAAATCTCACATCCCTCAATCTTTCTGGCGAGGGGGTGGGGGGTGTGGGGGAAGAGAGCCTGGTGGAGGACTGGGTGGGGCTTGGGGGTGTGGGCTGAAAGGAACTGGAGCAAAAAAAAATTCACTTAGGGTCCAGGTTGAGTCTCTTATTTACCTACTGCTCTTCATAACTAAAGACTTTGGAAATGGTAGACTATAGTTTTTTGGAAATGGTAAACTATGGTTTTCTTTTCTGCGTTTTGGGGCCTTAGGGTCTATGCCCTGTGGATAGGCAGCAGTGTTTCTTCTGAAGGGACTGGACATTTCCAATGTCAGTGATCCCCAAAGAGATCAATCCTGGGAATGAGGACTGGAGAAGGGGGGTGTCTTAGGACTAGGGTGGAGTGAAACAGTTTGTTCCCCCTAGGTCTTGGAGCTTGACCTCCAGGAGGGCCAGCTGAAGGGCTCCCTGGCAAGTAGGAGCTGGGCTGGTCTCTGCAACACACCAGCAAACCAGGTGCAAGGCAAAATCAGATGCCTAGTAGAGGCCCTGGGGAGGGGCTGGGACTGTGGACTCTCATCTTGAAACATAAATTAGATCAAGTACTTAGGCTGAAATTTTTCCATTGCTTCCTATTACAAGCTCCTAACGGTGGCCCACCATTAGTTGGTGATGGACAGGGAAGCCTGGCATGCGGCAGTCCCTGGGGTCGCAAAGAGTTGGACACGACTGAGTGACTGAACTGAACTGCATGGTGGCCCACAGGGCTCGGCGTGGTCTGGCCCTGCCTGCTTCTCAGGTGGCACCTTGGAGCGTTCTTCCCTTATTCGCTGTGCTCCAGCTGCACTGCCTTTTTCCTCCTCCTGACTCATTCCAGCTTATTCTCACCTCTGGGCTCTGCACTGCTTCTTTTGTTGAGAATGCTCTTCCCAGACCCTCACATGGCTGAGGTCACTTTGCTGTTGGTGTTTAGTCATTAAGTTTCATCTGACTCTTTGGCGACTCCATGGCCTGTAGCCCACCAGGCTCCTCTATGGGATTTCCCAGGCAAGAATACTGGAGTGGGTTGCCATTTCCTTCTCCAGGGGTTCAAACCCGAGTCTTTTGCAGCTCCTGCATTGTCAGGCAGATTCTTTACCACTGAGCCACCTGGGAAGCCCCCCATGAGGTCACTTTGGTCTTGATTCAAACCTCAGCCCCTCAGAGAGACTTTTCTGACTGCTGCTGCTGCTAAGTCCCTTCAGTCGTGTCCAACTCTGTGTGACCCCATAGAAGGCAGCCCACCAGGCCCCCCCCCGTCCCTGGGATTCTCCAGGCAAGAACACTGGAGTGGGTTGCTATTTCCTTCTCCAATGCATGAAAGTGAAAAGTGAAAGTGAAGTTGCTTAGTAGTGTCCGACTCTTCGGGACCCCATGGACTGCAGCCTTCCAGGCTCCTCCAGTCCATGGAATTTTCCAGGCAAGAGTACTGGAGTGGGTTGCTATTGCCTTCTGACTACTCCCTCTGTATCATTAATTTCATTTTTTAGTATGGTCCTCATAATTGAGACGATCCCATAAATTCTTATGTTCCTTTTTTTTCCCTTGTCCAGTTCCCCTCACTGGAATATAACTCACATGAACTGGGATCTTGCCTATCTCGTTTATTCTGCAGCCTTACTGCCGAGGCCAGTGCTTGGCACCTCTAGGTGTTCTTTAAACACAGGTGAAACAAATACTGTCCACTCTCTGTCTTGTCTGCTCCTTCAAAACCATCGAGAAAGTCTTGTTAAATATTCTGGCTGGGGACTGTGAGGATGCTTGGGGTGAGGGGGTGCAGGAAGAACTGCAGCTGTGACTGGGGGCGGCTGGTCCTGGCTGACTGACAAGCGCCATCAGGGTTGAATTTGTGGAGGCATTTCCTGGGGAATCCCAGAGCATACTCCCTGCCCAGCAGGTGGGAGCTCCAACTGTTGTGGGGCCTTTGAATGAGTTTCCAGGACTGCTGCAACCAAGGGCCACAGACTGGTTGGGCTTACACAACAGAAACATATTGTCTCACAAACTGGAAGTCTGAGATCAAGGTGTTGGTTCCCTTCTGAGGGCTGTGAGAGAGAATCTGAGGGCTGTGAGGAAGAATCCACCATAAGAGGAGCTTCCTTGGTAGTCCAGCGGTTAAGATTTCCACTTCCAATACAGGGGGTGTGGGGTTCGATCCCTGATCTGGAAGCTAAGTACATGTCTTGTGGCCAAAACACCAAAACATAAAACAGAAGCAATATTTTAATATGCCTTTTTACTTAGTCATGTCTGACTCTTCGAGACCCTTTGGACTGTAGCCCCCCAGCCTCCTCTGTCCATGGGGTTTCCCAGGCAAGAATACTGGAGTGGGTTGCCATTTCCTTCTCCAGGGGGATCTTCCTGACCCAGGGATCAAATCTGTGTCTCTTGTGTTGCAGGCAGATCCTTTATCTGCTGAGCCATCTGGGAATTTGATAAAAACTTTAAAATGGTTCACATAAAAAAAATTCACCAGGAGAGTCCTAGGACTACTCCTATGAGGGCAACTGTAACCAGAGCTATGTACGGAGAGTGGGGAAGTTCGTGAGACTGGCCTCCAGGTCTCCCTGGACCCCTTCTCTCTAACTACTGGCTTTGCTGGGCTTCCATCAATGACTTCCTTTTTCCGAGCAGCTCTAAGACCCAGGCAGATACCCTGCTCACCACTTGGAAAGCAAATCTCTGTTTTAATTGCCTGTGCAATTAGTGCGCTCCTAGTGTCGAAGCCATCACCTGGAAAAGCACTTTGGCTAATTTGAATTTAAGCGGAGTTCTAAAATGACTGAGGGCCCTGCTGTGAGGGTCCAGGCACCTTCTCATCATTCAACACAGCACCTGCCAACTCCTGGCCTTGAGAGCTGGTGAGCAAATCTGTCCACAGCTCCCTGCCCCCATGGCCCCCTCACCCTCCACCCCCTCGAGCAGAGTAGGGCAGGTTGCAGGTGTAGGCTGCTGCTGCGTGCAGAAAGCAGGCACCTAACAGTTGCCCATCCGCCAAGCAACCAGAAACAGAGAATCACGCCAAGAATGGAAACTCATGGTTGGGGGGTGGGGGCTTCTAGGAGGCAGAATGTAATTGTCTTGATTGAAATTTTCCTGGGCCACCAGCCAGTCCTGTTTCCATCTCGTCAACCTAAACATCAAGAATTCCCTTTTTGTGCTTCCTCCTGAAAGCTCTTGTCTCCTTTTCAGCCTCTTCAAACTCCTTATCTGAGCACAGCCACAAAGAAACCACTTTTCACACAAAAACTATCTGGAAATTGAAAAAGAATGCAGGACTTGTGGCTCTCTGGAGGTCCCACCACCTGAGCAGGCCATGCTGTGGGGGCACAAAGGTTGGGGGTGGGCAGGATTGACCTTGAATTCACCAGGAAGGGACCTTGTGTGAGGCTCTGAGCAGCTTTGGCTGAGTGAGGGAAAAGAAGGCAAGAGAAATGGGCAGAATGTAGTTCCTTTATTCTAAAAATACACTCACTGAGGAGCCTAACATGTGTTCAGTAAAAAATCAGACCAGGGACCCCTGGCTGGGGTGGAATCCAGCGCAAGGGCAGGAGAGAAAGCCTGAGAGGGTCTCTTTCAGAATCAGCTGTCTTCTCCGTTTCCTCAGCGTCCACACTTGGTCTCTTCAATAGGGAAATCTTCTCCCTAACCCAGTGTTTCCTTTGGGGTGGAGGGAAAGCTGTTATGAGATTCCCAGCCTTTTTCCTCTACGGGGAAGATGGACTCCCCTCAATGGTGAGTTTTGTAGTGAGACTGGGCACGACCCTCTGGTTCCCCTCTGTAGGGAGCTCTCTGCCCATGGGGATCAGCCTCTGCTTGCTCCTCTGTGCCCTAACCTCAGCAGCCCCCAACTTCTACCACATGGGGGTCTTGCCCAGACTCACAGAGGCCATCAGTTGGCAAGCGCATTCAACTCTAACACTAAGCTACCTGTTCCAATCTAGGGGGTATTTTGGCCTCCATCTGTCCTACTCTTTGCTGTATTTATCAGCTGATTTTAAACACAGGCGGAGGGTAATGGTGCTGTTTACTGAGCCTCTCCTGAAGCCCCCTGGCTGACTTGCCCCATCCTGTAACAGGCTCTTAGGCCACCACTTAATGTGGGATGCTTGAATTAGTGATTCTCCTATTTCATTCTGTCGGAAGACGCTGGTTCTTAGATCTTACAGATGCTTGCAGTTCCCTTTGATTGCTGTGCCACCTTGGGAGCTGGCAGAGACATTCCTTGACCTGTGACCTCCCGAGGGCAGATAGGCCGAGACACGGAGTCTGGATTAGATAGAGACTCACTCTTGGACCTCAGCCCGTGCTGACCTGGGAAGAGCGCTGGCGAGCCTGCGTCTGCATGTGCCTGACCTACTTGTCCACTAGTTGGCCAACCAGATGGGCTCCAGGAGAGCCAGGGAGCAAGTCGTGAGGTCTGGCCTTTCCCAAGTCTCTTTAAAAGTCCTGACAGGCTTGGGAAGTGAGTGGCTGGTCATCCAGCTGGGCAGGAGGCATTGACATGGGCTTCATTCAGCCTGCGGTCTGTGGGAGCCAGATGGACGTTGGCCCTCTTGCAAGCGCTCACAAGGATGAGTAAAACAGTCTCAGGAAGAAGGCCTGCTTCCACACGGATGGGCTTTGCACAACTCTAAGCAGCACCATAGTGCTGGTGTAGTCACTGTGGATCTATGGAATCATTACCACTATTGCCAGCAAACAGCAATAGAGTGTCACCAGGAGGGGTCACTGAACTCTCACAAAATTGCCCTTTGGGTTAGCAATGGGGATGTGTCAGTGACTTCAGGACGTTTCATTTTACAAAGGAGAGATGTGAGACCCGGGGGGAAGAGTTATGTCAGGTCACAGACCTGGCTGGTAGCAGAAGCAAGACAGGAACCCAGCTCTCCCATCCACGGGTGACCGGCGCTCCTCCGCCCTGTGATGAAACCTCACCGGGACGCCTGGAAACCTCTTGCAGTGGTTTCCCTCTTGCAGTGCACGTGATATACGTGGATGCCCGCGCACACATCCTCTCTCTCCCTGGATGCCCCTCCTGTCGCGATGGTACCTGCTGGCACAGCGCCCTCGCCCCTCCTCCGGCTCCGCCCCCACTCGCAGCCTCACCTGTTGTGAACTGGGTGGTGCTGGCCTCGCTCTCGTTGGCTCCGCGGACCGCGCTGACCCACACCTCGTATCGGGAGCCCGGCCGCAGGGCCTGCACCGAGTACTGGCTCAGGGGAGGCTGCAGCCGGAAGGTGGTTTTCCCGCCTTCCCCGCCCACCAGGCCGTACTTTAGGAGAATGAAATCGACTTTGGCTCGAGGTGGGGTCCACTCCACGAAGGCCACGGTGTCGGAGACATCTCGAACTAGGATCTGCGTGGGCCCATCAATGACTAAATGAGGAAGAGCCAGCAGAAAAAAAAAAAAAAGTTTGAGAAATGAGCCTTTGACTTTAGGAAGCTCTTTCCTTTCCTTTCCTCCTTACATTAGCCTGGTCTGTTAGAGACAGGATGGGTATTGTTATCCCATTTTACAGATGGGGATAATGAGACAGTGAGATGGAATCTCTTTCCTGTGGACACATGGTTTGACAATGGGTGAATGGACACTGGATCTCAGGTCCCCTGAGGCTGTGACTTTTTTCAGGGCTGGCACTTCCCAGTTTGGATGGAGGAAGGGCACTTACTGGCTTGAGAGGGCCAGCTCTGCTCTGTCAGGGGTTTATGGGACAAAGGACAGAGAACCATGCTTCTTGTGTGTGCCCAGCTGTCCAGCCTTCACCTTCTTTGAGCCCCAAGGAAAGATCTATGAATTAGCAGTCCTGTCTAAACACCTGAGACTTCCAACTTGGTTGCCAGTGAGGGCATCATGAATATCCGAAAGATGTCCTTGCTCAGCCATACCAACAGCTCAGTCAACCAGTTGCTAAGATGCTCAAAAACCCAACAGACATTTATATTTGTGTATGTGAAATATGCCTTCTGGGTAAACTTGCTCTTCTGTTAAAAAAAAAAAAGATATCAATCTTGGAACAGCCTCTTGTGGGTTATTTTTTCCTCACTGGTTCTTGCATATTCCTGAGTCAGAGGGCACTGCATCACACCCAGTCCTTCCGGGCTTTTGAATATTCAGCACGTGTCCCTGGCCCCGGCACTGAGCAGCCAGGGGAAACCACTGTGTGATGGCTTTATCTAGAAAAAAACTGGTTGATTTCCTAGGGGGCCTACCATCCATGGTTCTGATATCCACTTAGGGTCCTGTTCATATTGAATTAAGTGATGGTGGAGGTGGGGCAAGGTGAGAGAATGTAGAAGGGAAATAGAAAGGGCTTAGTGAGTAGAGTAGAAAATGGTGTTCTCAATTCCTCATGGCATGTCTACATGGCTAACATGCCCTATTTTAATTACTCATTATCTTCTAGAAAGAGCTGACTCGGCTTCCATGTTTTTATTTATTATGGATGACACCCTTCTAGCTGGGGCTGATTAATGTTAATATTAATATTCTTCAAGGATTAGGAACTGGAACCACAGGCTCTGGCTCTCTGGTTAGTTGGTGAGCCAGGACTAGTGTGGCCATTCTCTACCATCGTCACACATAAATAGAAAACATCTGATCTGGATGGAGCAGGGAGGGAGAGAGAGGGAAAGAGAGAGAGAGAGAGAAAAAGGGGACAGGGAGGGAGGGAGAGACAGAGAGGAAGAAAGAGGGATGAAGGCAAAGAGGAAAATGTGATTTATAGTAAATACATATTTGGTCTTCCCTTCTTGGCACAGAGCTCCTAAAACCCTTGATATTTTCTAAGTGGTCAAAGTGGTAAAGTTGTCTCTTGTTGAATGGACTTGTGGACACAGCGGCGGATGAGAGGGTGAGACAAATTGAGAGAGTAGCATTGACATATATACACTACCATGTGTAAAACAGATAGCTAGTGGGAAGCTGCTGTATCACATAGGGAACCCAGGCTGGTGCTCTGTGATGACCTGAAGGTGCTAGGAGGGAGGCTCAAGAGGGAGGGATATGTATATAGTTAATCTGATTCCCATAACTGGCAGAAACCAGCACTACATTATAAAGCAATTATCCTCCAATTAAAAAAAAAAAGAAAGAAACATGATCAAGCTATCCCCATTAAAAAAAAAAAATGTCCTTTTCCTCTCTGTAAAAAAAAGTTATCTGTCTCTTGTTATGTTAATGAATCGAGGTTGGAAGCCTGTTGTCAAGGGACCCAACTAGGTGATTAGAGGGTTGGAACTTTCAGTCTCACTTCTGACATCTGATCAGTCCATCAGTTGTGCTCAAGTAATGAAGCCTCCATAAAACTCCAAAAAGACTGGGTTCGGAGAGCTCCCAGTTTAGGGAACCAGAATGCTTCCATGTGCCGCTATGACAGGACCCCAATTCCATGGGGGCAGAAGCTCCTTTGTTCAGGGCCTCTCCCGTGTATCTCTTCATATGGCTGTTGATTTGTGTCCTTAAATATCCTTTGTGATAAACCAGTAATTTGGTGAGAAAATGGGTTTCCCAAGTTCAGTGAGCTGCTCCAGCAAATTGATGAAACCCAGAGAGGGGGTCGTAGAACCTCTAATCTGTAGCTGGTCAGTCAGAAGGACAGGTGGCAACACCTGGGTTTGTGATTGGCATCTGAAGTGGCGGATGGTCTTAAAGGACTGAGCCTTCAACCCGTGGAGTCTGATGCTCTCAGATGGTAGATGGTGTCAGAACTGAGTTGAATGGTAGGATACCTAGCTGGTAAACAAAGAATCTCTTGGTGTGGGGGACCCCTCCCCCAAACACACACACACTGGAACTGGGTGCAGAATTTTAGGAGCAAACAGAGAGAGAGAAGCAGAAATCAGTGACCGTGTGGCATTTCTAGAAAGATATAGAGAATAACTTGATTCTTGACTTTCCATTTCCTGGTTCAAGTCTTCTGTGAGACTCAGATGCATTTCAGGCCCTGGGGTTCCATGAGACACTCTGTGTCCTTCCAGTAAATTCTCTTTTTTGCTTCAGCTACGTTTTGACCATTTTTCTTCCATATTACCAGAGTGTCTTGACTAAAATTTTTTTTTTTTTTTTAAATCCTCACCGGATCACAATCTTGATTGTCTCCAGGATGGAGAGTCCCCCTCAGGACTGTCTCAGCCTGACTTTGAGCCTCTCAGTCTTTCTGAGTTGGGCCTTTCCCTGGGCACCCCACCCTCTTTGTGGGTCTAGCCCAGTCCTTCTCTCTATTAAACAGTTTGGGATTTGGGGTCTGACACTGGCCAAAATAAAAATCACCAGACCATTTTGGTTTTGGTGCCACCTGGTTTGGAGTTAAAACGTTCTGTTTTTCATATTTGGAGTAATAATGAGATGTAACAGAACACATCCAGATGTTTTCTTTCTTGCACGCTGAATTTCATAGTTTTAGATAACTTGGGCTTTTAATTTCATTTAATTTAATAATGAGATGGGGGAGATGTTCTCCGAGCAGCTGAATAAGCACAATACCTGAAACATAGTAGAGACTCAGTACATGGGACTGAATAAATGATATAAAGAGATGATTCTCAACAGTCATAAGAAAGGGAAGCATTTCAATGAACTGGAGCTTCTTGAAAAAAAAAAGTTACAAAAACTATAATGACTGTGTCAGGCTTTTTCCATCAGCTCTTAAAATCTCCCAATCCTAATCATAATGATTGCTTGTATTAAAGTGTCACTGTGAAGCACCAAGGCCTCTGGCTGCAGGAGGTCTTGTAATTTAAATTCCCAAAATGGCCTGACTGGAAGAAGCCAGCCTGCGTGCCTGACGAGGACTCAGAGCTTTGCAAAAGGGTTGGTGTGGATCAGACCTTAGCAGAAGGAAATAATTAAACAATGGTTTCTTAAAATCAGCAGACGGGGCTGGGAGCCAACCATCTTTTCTGCTGCCACTCTTGGATTCGGCCTTTCAGTTGGCCACTGGGTAGCCGTGTCCCATTCCAGTCAAGGAGGTATCAGCTTGCTTTCAATTTAGGCCCTAATTTTTAAACAAACACACATCCTCCTCAAAAGGTAAACTGGAATAAATATTTTTCTTTCCATTTCTTTGTGATTCTGTACACAATCCCAAAATATGAATTAGGACATTTTTTCCTAAGTGAAAAAAAATTTTGGCCTGGCTTGACCACAGATGACAAGATCAGGAGCTTTTCATTTTAATCTTAAGAAAATTCCAAATTAAAAAGAAATACTGCCAATTTTGTCAAAATGTGGTGTAAGTAGAAGCTTAAAGCAGATCTGTCTTTTCTAAGTGTGTCAGTATTTTGGAAGAAAAGCATCTTACATCTGTAATGTTCTTCTCTGTGCTCTTAGGTACCATCTTCTTCTAGCTTTTTGTTTTCTGCTAATACTTTTTTGGTATCAAATCACAGCAATGATTTAGGGACCCTGAAACATTCCAAATCAGAAGAGGAGAGTGAACAATTACCTAACCAACTCTTCAGGGTCCAGCACAACCTTGGGAAGCAGAACTGGAGAAAAACTCTGGCCACTGGAGAGATTCCTACAGAGCACTTTTAGCTTCATGGCTTTAGAGTTTCTTCTAAAACATATTTGGATAAGTACAGTGGTTTTAAAGCCTTTTGGGGAGGATTGGGGGGGGGGGCATATTCTTTTTTTAAAAGAAGAACATCTTAAATGATTGTACAAAATATAAAAGAGATGAAAGTGGAACTGCCTTGGTGGGAAGGTGGGAGGGACGTGGGATTGGGAGTAATAAGAGGCCGGGATCTCTACTGCCTCCTTGCCTTGAGGAGCTGTCACGGAACCCTGGGGCTCTAATGAAGCATAATCTGGTGCCACAATAGTTTTAAACCAATGTTTTCTTGACAGAGCACAAACCTCAGCACCTGATGCTGTTTAGTTGGATCCAGTTAGCAAAGTATGAATCACTAATCCATAAACATGGGCTCATTATATAGTGTTGCGGTTCCCTTTTCTGGCCAACCTGGCCTTCGCCCTGGACTCATGACTGGTTTTCTTAGGTGTCAGTTTCTGTTTATAAAAAATAAAACTCTCCCAATATTCACCTAACTCAGTCTCTATTACATGGAGTGTTGCTTAACCTTTGAGTCTCAGCTCCTCCATCAATAAAATGAGAACCAAAAGTGATACCAGAAGCTATTTATAACTTTTGGGAAACTCTTGGTTGAGGGCACACACAGGCATTATATTTGTTAATTTACAGCTTTGAGGTTGAACATCCTTTGTTAGCTGAGGAAACAATAAAGCAAAATGTGATACAGTTAATGACTCAAACATAGAAATATAATGATCTTGCATGAGAGGAACTGTGGAGATGAAATAATAATCTACTTAAGTTGTCACCTTGAACAGTGACCCAGCCCACACTTACTGGTTTGGAATGATGTGTTTCCTCCTGCTCTGTCACTTTGAAAGGTGTTCTCTGAGTATATGTATACACACTGTCATCAACCAGTGCTAATCACTTTGTGTGCTTTATCTGATTTAATCCTCATGTCATTTCTTTGAAGAAGGTATTATCGTTCATCATTGTCAAATGGATCGAGGTTTGGGAAGGGTCTTAGGACTTTCTGCACACCTCACAATAAGCAAGAGTGTATTAGCTCTTGCTGGTTCCAAAGCTCAAGATATTAGGGGCTTACAAATGAAGTCTCTTAATGAGTAAGATCAGAATACAGATACACTGGAGATCTGAACAAAGAATTTCTCATAGAATACTCTCCTGGGTTTGCAAGAATAAGGAAGATGTTCACCTAAGCATCTGGTGGAGTAAGCTCCATCTCCAGGCACCAAAATTAATTTCAGCTGTGGGAGAAGTCCTACCACCCCTTTGTCTGTCTTGATTGACTCTGCAATTCTTCCTGAATGAATCTTGTGTAGTCAGAGCGAGAAAGGTCGGAGGCACTTACCAGTGGAGACGCTGGCCGAGGTAGGGGGGCTCCGGGCTTGCTCTTTCAGAGCCACCACATTGACAATGTATTCCTCCCCAGGCTTTAGCCCCGTCTGATTGAAAGATGTGACGTCACTGGGGAGCTGGGCAATCACCCCTCCTTCATTGTTCTGGTGGGTAGAAGGGGAGAAGCAGAGAAACCAAAAGAGGAAATCAATAGGAGGGGAAAGGATGGGACCCTGATTGTGAGTTAAAGATGAGGACCACTTCTCTGCCCTCCAGGCTGACAGCTGAGTGTCTGGGGCCAGGAATGGCTCCCAGCAGGCTCAAGAAGAATGCCAATTTTCAAGAACATTTCTTTGGCTTCCCCTGCTTCTACTGAGTTTGCCAATAAAAATTAGTCATGAGATGATGTAGACATTTTTGCCAAAAATGAAATGTTTGATGCTTACCATCTATCAGATATTTTTTTTGGCATTTATCATGGTGAGCCTGCCTTTGGCTATTTAGAAGAGCCTAGTTGTGTATGTATGTGTGTAAACATCTTTATGTACATGACAACATATTTCAAACTAAAACGTTCCCAGTTTTTTTAATGAGCTGGAGCTATTATTTTGCTGTGTCTGGAGTTTCTCACAGTGTTACACTGGCTGCAAATCTGTCATTGTCTTGTTTCCCTTTTACCCTGATGAGTTAGGAATCAGTGACACAACCACGGAGTACAAAGAAGAGGAAAAGGGTAGAACAAAGAATAATACAAAGGAAAGAAGAAAGAGGCACCCTGGTGAAAGAAGAAGTGAAAAAGATCAACATGACGTTGTGTCCAGGGTTTAGTGTCTCTGCCCACTTGTCTGTCTGTTGGCCTATTCTTATACATTTTCTCTTTGTGCCTCGGAAGTGGAGGTGACATGAGGGCTATTTTTTGTGGCACAGTCCTTTTCTTATAATCTTTAGTCTCTGTTCATGTCACCTGGAGTGCTCTATATGTATTTACTATCCATACTCTTCTAAATCAATGTGACAAGTGCCTCCCACTAGCCTCAACCTACAGATCATACAGTTATTCTATGTGGCTGTATATTTGACCTAGGTATGCCCTGGCTAGCCCCTCTCTCATTTGGAATTTACATATTGGATGTAAAACAGGCAAACCTGGCATTGTTTTGTCTTGCCTGAGCAGCAGAGTGGCATGATTCTGTCTGCTCTCTTATGAACCCATTCGCCCACCATACTTCTTTGACCATTTTAATGCAGATAAAACATATAAGAAACTGCATATATAGAAAATATGCTTAGATGTAGTTAGCTTGGCATGTCATGACTATATCCCCACAAGAGAAGGAGGTGTCCTGTCCAGTTCAGGGGACAGAGCCCGGGAATAAGAAGTGGAGACCAGTTTCTTGTTTTAAGCCTGCCACCAACCAGCTGTCTGATATCGTGTAAGTTCACTGAGTCTTATTCTCTATAAACTAAACAAACTAGATGTAAAATTAAGGGTCATTCTCTGTGAATCTGAAAGTCTTTTGTTGTTCCAACAGTTCATGCCTCTAAGAATTTTGAAGTAAAAAGAATAGTAAAATCATAGTCTTATGAGCCAAAAATGTGTCATCTGTCATTAAGTCTGATGAATGATTTGAAAAAATTCTCTTTGATATTGAAAGATGAAGACAAAGGAAAGGAATGTGATTAAACATTTTATGTGTGTGTGTGTGTGTGTGTATACCCTCATGAGCGATATAGTTAGGGGAAACATCAGTGCCATTAATAACTCCTAGAAAAACTAGAACTAGTCAGGCACCTCTGGCAACTTAGAAAAGTTAATTTGCGGATTGATAAAATAAAATACAACTTTGATGAATGGAAAGAAATCTTAAGATCCTTTTCAGCTCAAAATGTTTAAAGAAAATTTGTCTCAATGAATAGGTTATACATGGTGTTTTTGTGTTACATCTCAGAGGCCGAAACCACATAGGTCGAATTTGGGGGCTTCTGCCTGCACAGAATGAAGTTGTGGGTTGCCTATGAGACTCATTGGCTTTAGCTTTTCTTGTGTCCTAAAGAGAAGCCCCAACTTTTTGAAGGTTTAGGTTTTCAGACTCACTGAAGTCTCAGCTTGCTAAAACCTAAAGTTTTTTGAGCAGAGAGCTGGGTCTGGCTGCTCCGCCACTCACCTGTCACCCAAGGCCTGGGTACCAGGCTTGGGGCCATTCTTGTTAATCAGTCATTACCACACCTTTGTGAAAGACATGTTCTGTAGCCTGCCAAGTGCCCTTTTGTGTCCTGAATGGCTTGCAGAGAGAGACACAGACTGTGTGACGGGGGTGGCTGTTTTGCTGCCCCATCCTAAGTCGAGGGTGGGGGCATGCCACATCAGGCTGTGGCTTTCTGACAGGTGGGGTTACCTTTGGAGTGAAGCTGACCTCCCACCCATCGAAGGGGAATGAGAAGGGCTCCCACTGCACCTCCACCGTGGTCTCTGTGGTCGTCTTGAATCGGAGCCCCTGCGGCGTGGAGAGATCTGGAACACAGCAATGTGGGTGACGGCGTCATGGCTAGCCCTGGCAGGGGCAGGGAGCGTTACCTGGGCTCCCCCCCATGCCATGGGTGCCGCGGCGTGTGATGGGCTATCCCAACCTCATTACAGACACGCTGGGTTCCAGGCAAGGGGTGAGCCCAGGCCACGTTGGTGTTGGCGCTCAGCATGAGCCAACAGAGGAGTGAACCTAATGAACACCTAATAAACACTTTTTATGCTTTCTATTCCATAGGAGGTTGTTAAAATCAAAAGGCACACTTCCCTTTCCTTACTAAGGTATTGAGTCTTGGCATTTAACATAATGCTTTCTTCAGAGAAGCCAAACGCTGTCTTTGGAGGCTTTAAGGGTTTCTGAGAGGCGGTGTGAAGGTTAATGCCACTGTTCCTTCCTATACCCGGGAGAAGGGGGCACAGAGAGAATCAGCGAAAGGCGTGGAGCAAGCCAACTTCAGAATAGAGACTCGAACGCTTTTCTCCATCACATGATGCGCACTAAGAATATCTTGTTTAGCTCAAATCACCACCTCTAGAATGGCCTGAAATTTCCATTTTGTGTAGCAAAATGTGTAGCCAAGCCAAGCAAGGGTGTAAATAAGGGACAGTAACAGATACTGAGGTTTCTGCTCTCACTCCACGAGTTCCTGCTTTTCTTTCTCCAGCTGTTGCTTGGTTCTCTCTTCCCTCTCTCCCTCACTCAACTTCACCTCAATCTTGTTTTTAGTTCCTCTCCTAATTCCCTGGCTTTCCACTCCCCACACCCTCCCTCCCCTCCCACCCCCAAACACACACATGCACACACAGGTGGAAGTAGGCTGGTCCTAATGGGGTTCCAATTACCAGCCCTGAAATACGACAGCACGACTTTTCTCAGTTCTCCAGGGAGCCTGATCCCATTTTAGCTGCGCCTCTCCTGGGACCTTCCCATTGGAAGGCTGACAGATTCTCATCCTTCCTGTTTGGAAGCTTCCTCAGGCTTCTCGGTGAAAGGCAGGGCGGCTCCTCAACCCACTTGAAGGTGTGTCAGGTGAGTTTACATGATTCTGTCCTTGTCACCTGGGAGCTTGCCCGAGGGGATGCCCTGAATTGGCAGAATAAACGCCATGGGAGATGGAAACCTCGCCACGGTGCGTGGTGCACGTGGATCAGAGCAGAGACGCCTGGGAGTCGGGCCAGGCTCTCGCTGTGATGACTCATCCCGGAGCAAGGTGGGGAAAGCAGCAGATGGTGACCTGCCTCTCTACGTGATCACTGCAGATATTTTAAACTGGTTCTCAGGCACCAGAGGAATTGAAGAAAAAAAAAAAGTCAGATATAAACAGAGATAATTATAGGCATATTAAAAAAAAAGTCAGCATTCAGAGGGGGGAGTCCAATATTCTAACAGGATCTTTGTCACCTGAGAAGCAAGGGGACAAAATGACTTCTTAAATCCTTTCCCCTCTGCCTGTCCTATGCTTGCAGCACAACTCAAGACCTTGGCCTCCATGAAGCCTTCCAAGCCAACTCTTTCTACTTTGTGCATGTGTGTTCTGTTGCTTCAGTCGTGTCTCTTTTCAACCCTATGGACGGTAGCCTTCCAGGATTCTTTGCCCATGGAGTTTCCCAGGCAAGAATACTGGAGTGGGTTGCCACGCGCCCCTCCAGGGGATCTTCCTGACCCAGGGGTCCAGCCCCCATCTCTTATGTCTCCTGCGTTGATAGGTGGGCTCTTAACCATCAGCACCACCTTCCTACTTCAACCTCTTCTTATTCTGAACTTTTTTGGCATTTGTTACCCAAATACCATCTTGTCATTTGAGACCTACACCAAATGGGCTTGGATCACTCATCCCATATTTGGTGATAAGTCTCATTTACCAACCCAGGGGCTGATGTTTCATGGTCACATCTTGTTTTGGTTTCCTGCCATTACTAAAATTCTCTGTGATGTAATAAAAAAAGTAAGTATTTGGTCTTTGTCCTGACACAACAGCTCCTAAAACCCTAGGAATCCCCAGAGGGAAAAGAGTATCTTTTGTATGATTATGAGATAACTGGTAGCCCGGGCCTCCTAGATGGCTGGTTTGAAGAAAAACCCAGGAGTGATTTAGAGAGAGGGTTGGAACTCTTGCCCGCAACCTCCAATGAGGGGAGAGGGGCTGACTTGAGTTAATCACCAATGGCTAGGGGTTTTACCAATCACGCCTGCATAATGAAACCTCCATAAAGGCCCTAAGCAATGGGGCTCCGAGAGCTTCTGGGCTGGTGAACACATGGAGTTACTGACAGTTACTGTGCAGAGAGAACATGGAAGCCCTACACACCATACTTTGCCCTATGTGTATCTTCCATTTGGTTGTCCTTGACTTGCATCCTTTCTAAGAAATTGGTTATAGAGAGCAAAGAGCTTTCTTGAGCTCTGTGAGTTCTAAGGAATTACCAAAATTAAGGACGAGTTTTGGGAACCCCTTAAATGTAGAGCTGGCTATTCAGAAGACCTGTGACAATCTGGGACTTGTGACTGAAAACTGATGTGGAAGCAGTTCTGAGAGACTGAGGTCTTTAGCTTGTCAGATCTGATGCTAACTCCTGGTGGATAGATATTGAGTTGAAATGAACTGTACAATCCCCAGCTGGCATTTGAGAGCTGAAGAAGTGGGGTTGGAAAGACAACTGAAGAATTCCACGGTATATAAAGAAAACGAAATAACAGCCCCTTCCCATCTCTTTCTTATTCTGCTCTTTGATGTAATTAATGTTAATAGTTGGTATGCAGTCTTTTAAAATGTTTCTGTTCTTAAATAAGCATACAAAATATAGATACATACCTATAGCAGTTTCTCTGTTATAAATAAAAAAGAGAAACTTCCATTTCTCTATCTCTTTTTTGCCCACTGACTCTTCCTAAATGATGCTTTAGAGATTCAATGTTTATAATAGAAACGGACCATCAGGGTATTTTACTAAACAAAAGATTATGAAGAAATAATGCCACCTCTCTCTGAGGAGAAGTGGGTGTTTTCAGTTGTGGTTTTAAATAAGATTTTTTCCCAATGTGTTATACACTTGCCATCTGTGATATACCATTTAGCACTTGCTTATTATATGTCCTATTTCATGTCTGCTGGTTTTGGATCTCTAACTAGATTCAAAGTCTGTGTAAGTCTCATACTTTCCTTGACTTCTAATCAGACTCAAGCTTATAACAAATCAAAACTCAACAATTAAAGTACTTTTTGTCCTTTTGGCTCTATAATAGATAGGGGCTGGCTGGGATGTGGAAACTCTGCTCCTTTGGAAGTGTCTTTTTAATGATGTGCCCTTTCCTAAGTGGGTCACATCGGAAGCCCTTCCCCTTGAGAGCAATGATAACCGCAGGCATCCCTGAAGAATTAAGAAAAGACACTACCATCATGAATGCCCATGATCTCATGTAGGAGAAAAGAAAAATGAAGCAGGAGGGGGAAATGGTACGTACGGGTGGCCACCTTGGCAGTGATGGGAAGGCTGAGGATGTTGCTAATGACAGCATAGACGCTGATGTTGTAGGTGAGACCTGGCTCCAGCTCTGAGATGGTGACGCCACTCCAATCTCCAGGCACCCGCTGCTGGAGCTGGAGGCCCCCCAGGGCCGTCGGCTGGTAAGAGATCACATATTCCGTCACTGCCATCGGCCCGTCCCATTCCAGCTCAATGGACCTGTCGCTGATACCAGCCACTCGCAAGTCCTCTGGAGGGGCAACTACCAGGAGGCAATACACAGATAGCATGAGCTCAGAGGTCTGCCTTCCCCATGCTGGACTCAACTTCCTTCCTCACCTCTCACCCCACATGCCCTGTCTGTATGTTCTCAGCTCACTGACTTGGAGTGATAGGGAAGTCCCTCGGCAGGCAGGTTCTTGTCTTTTCTGTGCTCGGTACTCTCACCTCTATAGGGCCCTGAGTTAGCAGTGGGCTGGAGCCTGCTCCTACTGGCTTGGAAAAGTTAGTTGTCAAATTTTGCGAGACATTTTTAAATAGTCATTGTGAAATATTAAATTGTCTAAACTTAGAATTAGATAATTATCTTAAGAACAAAAGTAATAAATACTCCAAACTCATTACTGGCAAATGATTTCACTATGTTTTACTATTATCTGTGCCCTTAAGGCAATTTACCTGTGTTGTATCTCTTTGGTAGAAATAGTGCATGCGTGCTTAGTTGCTAAGTTGTGTCAGACTTTGCGATCCCATGGACTGTAGCCAACCAGGCTCCTCTGCCCATGGGACCTTCCAGGCAACAATACTGGAGCAGGTTGCTGTTTCCTCCTCCAGGAGATATTCCTAACCCAGGGATCGAACCCATGTCTCCTGCATTACAGGCAGGTTCTTTACTACTGAGCCACTGGGGAAGAAATATTGCTTTGGCCAAAAAGTTCGTTCAGGTTTTCCATAAAATGGGTGGAAAACCCAAATGAATTTTTTGGCCAACCCAGTACTATTTGATTCTGTTCTAGTGTGCAGCTATTTCCAACTCAACCTTTAGTGACTTCACACTGGTAGTTTGAAACTGGCCATGGAGGGAGTATTTATACCATGGGAGCTGGCAAATGCTACAAAGTGGGGCTTGTTATTTTTTCCCTCAGAGAGCTAGTTGTTAGATACTTAACGGCATACGTTGGCTAATATTTTTGGTAGTTTAATAAATTATTGTTATCAGATTACTCTGGAAATGTAACTTGTGTTACACAAATTTTTATTAACCTTGATATAGGGGATGATGACAAAGTAGCATTCCTGTTCTACTTCTCAAAGACTATTCAAAGACTCACCAAAAATGAAACCTCATTACGATAGCCTTTCATGTATGGTTCCCCTGGGAAGTGAAGATTCAGTGGTAGTGGGGGTATTAAATAATTGAAACTTTAAGACCAATTAGGAAGTTAATACCAGGGTGCCTGTAATTGGACCTGCCTGTAGATGAACTTTAAGATCATGCCAGTATTTAAATAGTCATAATTAACTTATAAATTTATGTGTAGTTGGAGGCTTTGATTAGCTTAAGTGTTGTCACTGGTGTTGAACTTCTGAGAATTCTCTCTCTTTCCCCCTTTACTCAAGCAGAGGACTGAGGACTGCTAGTCATGGGGCCATGTGAGTGAGAAGTGCCTGTTCTCTCTATGGTGCTCTACCTCAAATCCTCATCAGAGGCAGAAATGAAGACTCATATGATGGGAATTAGGAACATGTATTTGCAGTGCTGGGCATTTGCTTTGATTGCTTTTGCCCTGAACTATTCATGATATGAAACAGTATAAATAGCAGAACTTCTTATGATTTGAGAAGTTATATGTTGACCAAGACAAAAAAAATTAACTTTATTTTTAACAATTTATTATAGCTAGATGAATGTAAATGAAATTTAAATAATTAAAGTTTCAAATAGCTTGTAAGCCTATGTCATTTCTAACTCTGACATGATTAGAGCTTTGAATTCCACTAAGATCTTTGGGTTAGCCTGTGTAATACATACCGTATGACTCTTGGACCAAGGAAGGAATAGTTGATATATAGAACCTATCAGTATTTTGCATGATTATATTAACTATTTATTATGCACCAAGCACTAGGCTAAACATTCTGACATGGATTTTCTCATCTCATCCTTTCACCAACACTATGGGATCAGTATTATTTTTACCCCTGTTTTACAGAGAAGAAAACTGGGTTACACAATCAGTGAACACAGAAGCTAGGATTTGAACCCAGGTGCAATGATTCTAGAAACTCTAAGACAGTATGCAATACAACTTACATTTGCATAGCATCTTGGTCTATAAAACACCATCTAACTAGAATTTTTTTTAAAAAATTATTTAATAGCAGCGCTCTGAGGTAGATTGGGAAGGTGTAATTATCCCAACTTTACAAATGGAGAAACAGACCCAGGCGAGAGGACTTGCCAAAAGTAAGGGAGTTGGGTCGTTGCTGAACTGATCATCAAGCCGAAGTCTTCTACACTTGGTCTACACTCTTCTGCCTTGGATGTTCTTCCCCCTACAATTTGTAGGATGGGTTATGGATTGTGCCAAATGCTTTCTTTCATTTGTACAGAGCCTCAAAAATAAATTACATCAGTAAATAATTCAGACTGTCTTTTAGGATGGAAATTCTAGACTGGTGCTTATCCTAGTGATCAGAAACTTCTTTTAAGGATTCTCTAGTGCCTGCCTTTTGTGATTCAACACATTAATTCCAAGTTTCCAGTGTGGGACTCCTCCTGTCACAGTGACAGAAACGGCCATTCCAAATTTCAAGTCACCAACAATTCTTAGAGCATTGAGAACAAGTTGGTGAATTCATTTTTTGTTGCTTTCTCTGGAAAATAAAGCTAATCACGACAATAGAGAATGATCCAAGCAGCACATTTGGGGATTTTAAAGTTAAAAAGATTGCAGAAGGATTTTCTCATCTTGACAACTTAGCTTGGCAAATTTTTTATCTTGAGACCTGAGCCTGGGTGGTGGGAAAAACAACCTTCACATCTGATGCGAAAGAAGCAATAATGTCCATGGTGGAAGAAGCATTCTTGAGAGTAGTAGCTCAGCAGAAGAGAGCATCATCACTCATCCTATAATTTAGCAGAAGCTGTATAAACTGGGTGTCAATAATTCTTATAAAATGAAATGATATTGAACTAGAAAGCAAACTATAAAAGAGCTGTATGCCTTGATTCAAGGAATTAAGTGGGGCTGAAGAAAGTTTTCTCTTTATTTATTTTTGGCTGCATTGGGTCTTCTTTGCTGCATGAAGGCTTTCTCTAGTTGCTGTGAATGGGGTCTACTCTTTGTTGCGGTGTGCGGGCTTCTCACTGTGGGGGCTTCCCCTGTTGCAGAGTACAGGCTCTGCACCATGGCACATGGAATCTTCCCAGAGCAGGGATCGCACCTGTATCCCCTGCATTGGCAGGCAGATTCTTAACCACTGGACCACCAGGGAAACCACACAAAGTATTCTTGGTCTTGCTTTCTTTGGGGCTCCAACTTGGAAACTTGTGGATGAGCAGGCAGTTAAAAAGAATTAACTGTAGCTTGAGGAACTGGAGTTGCTTATCTGGCAAGATGCCATGCTGTTTACTTTTTAGATCTGGCATCAATTTGCACATATACTGTGAGAGCAGTTGGAATTAGTTCCATGAAGTGTCTTGCTCAGAGGAGCGAGTGAGGTCAGGTGCCAAAGTTCGGACTGGCTGCAGTGCTGGCCCACACAGAGGCTGATGGTGATGAATCTCTTCACGTCTGACCAAAGTCCAAGGAACAGCTTTCTGGATTGTTTCAAGCCTCAACTCTGGTGGTTGTTTCACCCTGCTTCTTCACAGGGACTTGTGACCAGTTCACTAGCCACCTCCCACACTAACCTCCTTCACCAGGGGCACATGTGGACAAATGGTTGAACAAGCACCCCTATCCTGTCTCCAACACTTGGTATTTTTTTATCACCGGACAGAGCTCAGCTTTCATATCAAAAGACTATTTCTTTATGCATGTGGCTTTTACCATTTTTATTTTCCAATTCCACTCTACTTAGCATCCTAGGGAGGATTAAAGAGTGCTAGAAGTTGGTAGGAGACCAGGGTTCTTATTCTTGCTCTGCCATTAATTAGCTGTCTGGCTCTGGAAAAATATTCCCATCTCCCAGGGCTGCTGCTTTTTCAGTTTGTAAAATGAGAAGCCCCGAGTAGCTTCTTTCTAAGGCCTGGTTTAAGTGTTCATATTCTTTTTTTGTTGTTGTTGTTCTATTGTCTTCACCTGGCCAGAGAATAGAGGTGGAAAGGTTGAGATCTGGTTTCATGGTCCACTGTGAGAAAGAGCAAGACTGGGAGTCAAATAGAGCGGTCTTGTCAACTCTATTCAATTGCATTCAAGCTCTAGCAGCCTAAGGGACCTCAGAATGAAGTCCACACAATGGGCCTCCATTCTCCATGCCCTTGCCAGCAAGAAAGGAAAGTCAGGGACTGTGTTGTGGCTCTCCTCGGTTTCACCTTCCCGACTCTCCTCTCTCCTCTCCTTCCTGCTGTTGGTGAGATGAATAGTAATGCTGGAGTGTGTGTATGTGGCCAAAAATGTCAAACAGCGGGTAAACAGCCCCTCTCCTAGAGCCTTCTCGCCAAGAGCAGGCGAAGTAGCACTTTAGATAATGACCTAGATACTTCTCTGGAAGAGACCCATGGCATTTGGTTTAAAAGACAAGCATTGAGAACAGCACCTCCAGCAATAAGTGGTGGCTCCATGGTTGCTATAGAAACAGATGGAAATTATGCAACTGTCCCTCCTCACGTGCTTTGGGAACCTATAAAGTAATTTATCTGATTGTCCAAAAGTCTTTCTAAATCAAATAGCACAGAGGTAACGTGTTGGAGGTAACATGTAGCTCATGGATTGAGTTCAGCCTAGTTGTAGTTATACAGGTGGCTGCTGAGTCTTCCGCATGTGAACAAAAGGGCCACCTCCAGCTCAGTTTGTACCCTGGATCAGATTAAGGTTCTATATGCAAATGAACCCACCCCTGTGAAAAAGGAGGGTCAGGAAGAACATGACAGGTATGTACAACCCAACGGAGATCAATTTTATTAAGAAGAATGTGAACTATACAGTAGCCACACATAGAGAAGGGCCCAAAAGAACCCTTAGCATCCTCTGATGGGGCCTCATGGAGCCTTGTCCTAGGAGTGAGAACTGGGATCATGCTTCAACTTCCCCTTTCCAGGAATTACTTAGTGACCTTGGGTTTGTAAATGATGCAGCTCAATTTCTGCTTGAATTTTCCTTCTGAACAATTGGTATAATAACTATATTTTCAGAAAGATAGTCAGTAAACAAAAGTAGGAGGCTACATGAAACCATTGACTATGGAAAAAAATGGAGGAACATGAAAACATTTTTTCCCTAAGCAGTGAATTTTTGTTTTTTTCTTTACCTTGTTGCATTCATCTTTCAAAAGAAATTTAAGTTACAGGTGCAGGAGACTTGTCTGACTGCTTTGGTACATAGGTGGGAATCACTGCTGATGCTCAAGAATAAAAGACCTGGCCTCCCAGAATCTCTCCCTTAAACTGAGGTCAGAAATCTGATTAGAAAAATTCCTAGAATCAACTCATCAGAAGATTTAATAATGTTTATTTCTTGTTATTTTTTATTTTAAATCTTCCCAATGAGCCCTTTGAGCTGACTGTTACAGATTGTACTATAAATGAGAAGGATGAAGATCAATCACTCAATCTGTATTGTTTAAAATACAAATTAAACAGTGACAGTCACTGATTTAGAAGACAATCAGCAGTCACAGTGAGATAATGAAAATAATCTGATTTTAGGCAAAAGAAAATGATCTCCAGTGAGATATTGGTATGTTCTCACTGATGGACTTGGGGCTTCCTTTCGGGATATCACCCTTGTCTTGGTTTTCATGATGTAGACACATGTGGGGTTGATTCCAGCTTGTTATATGTCCTCTGGAACAAACTGAGTCATAGTGTTTTAGTAACTGTGAGTTCTTGCTTAATGGAGGTCTTTAGTAATTTATTCCTGTTTACATGTAATTCCTTGCCTATAAATACTTTCATCCATGTGGATTCTAGATCATTTCATAAATTAATAACACTTTGCCATATGGAAGCTCCAAAAATAACCAGAGTGCCCAGTGAGTCTGATTATCAAAGACTATGCCCCATCTCATTCCCTAGCATTGTGAAAGGAGTGTCCTCAGAATATGGCAATGGGAAAGGGGAATATTTCGGAGGGAGTGGAGCTCTGGGAAGTCCGCTGAGTTAGAGAGGGGTCCCTTGCCTAAGGTGGTCCCCTGGCCTGACTCTCTGCTTTCTTCCATCTCAAGAACAGTGAAATGCTGTCTCCATTATTACCACTGACTTCGTTCCAGCCTCCGGGTAGGATTCAACTTTCATCCCAAACTTGACCTTTTCTGGTGTCCACCCTTTTCCCCTTAAACCCGTATTGTCAATTGCCATCTACTCAAGGCATCACCTCTCTCGGAAAGCAGAGGAGCACGACCCACTGGGCAATTCTTTGGCCTAAATTCTTCTTCCCTCCCATCTCTCTTCCCGCCTCCGGCTAGCTGGCTGGACCGCCCTTGCCGACGGCCCCGCGGAGCCCCGCTCCCTACCTGCCGAGCAGTCAGGGCCCTGGTAGCCCTCTTCACAGAGGCACAGCCCCTCCCGGCAGTGTCCTCGGCCGCTGCAGGCGTTCGGACACCGCCGCTGGCCGCAGTCCTCGCCGACGTAGCCCTCCTGGCACAGGCAGGTACCGTTGGCACAGGTCCCCTTCCCCGAACAGCCCCCGGGGCAGCTCAGCTCGCTGCAGTCCTCGCCCGCGTAGGCCTCTTCGCAGACGCACTCCCCGCCCACGCACAGCCCGCGGGAGCTGCAGTCGGTCGGGCAGCGGAGCTCCGAGCAGTCGTCGCCGCTGTACTCGCTGTCACAGACGCACTGGCCGTCCACACACACGCCCCGACTGGAGCAGCCCAGCGGGCAGGCGGGCTCCGAGCAGTTCTTGCCAAACCAGCCTTGCTCGCAGATGCAGCCGCAGGACTCGAGGCTAAAATTGCCGTGGCCACTGCAGTGAGGGATATAGTCCAGTTGCCCTGGAATGGCCAAGGAGAAGGTCAAGGGCAGCTGTGGAACCTGCCGGCAGTGGGGTACGGGGAGGGGGCAGGCTGAGACCTCCGCTCGCTCACTGACCAGATTTGTGTTGCCGAGAGGGAAGCTCAAGCTTCAGCTTCATGAATCTTTTCGTCTATGGTGGGTTGTGTGTGTCTGGCATAGTGTTGAGGGTGAGGATGAGTGAGATTGGGTCCCTTGTTCTTTAGGAGCTCCCCTGCGATGTGTCTTGGCTTGGGTTCCCTAGTGACTAATTGGGAGGTGCTCCCAGGAAAAAACTGGTCATGGAGAAGAGGAGACAGGGAGGGAGGAGCCCAAGTCAAACATATTATCAAGCAAAGTCCCAGGGAGTGTGACTTGGGCTCAGTCCTGCAGGGGATCTTCTGGCCACAGGGCAAGCCACACCTCAACTGGGATGGAGGGCTGTCCCTGGAGGGTGTCAATTCTCATGCTCATCCATTCTCTACCTGGGGCAGATCAAGGAGGTTCTCGGAGCCTGGGGGCAGTCCCTGACCAACACACCCAGGTGCTGGTGCTGAAGATTGAAGGGGACCGAAGGGGACCGAGGGGATGGAGGCTGAGTAGCAGGCCTGTGAGGCAGGTCAAAGTCACATGTGCTGCAGGTGCATCCTATTCCTCTCCTTCCCACCATCTAACTAACTGCTCATCCTTCACAGTTCAGCTCCAGGGTCACTTCAAAGGTTTCCCAGAACTTGTCTCATTTGGTGATTGTTTGCTGTGATCTTTTTAGGATTCTATGTGTATGTTTGCTGTGATCTTTTTAGGATTCTATGTGTATCTCCTGCCCTAGCCCTTGCCATGTAATAACTAGAGTGGTTAATTTATCTGTCCAGCAAGAATCAAACAAACTTATTAAATGAACACCATAGCAGTACCTGCTTGGCATCCTTCTCAGCACTTGGCCTTGGGGATAGGAAGTCAAGTAAGTTATGTCCTTGTTTAATTTTGCCACTTCATGCACCCCCTCCCCAAATGACCCAAAAGGATACTATACTGACATTGGTTAACATAGATCTTACTTATAGATCATTTCACACCTTCCCAGGGAAACTGGTGGGAAGCTGGTTTAAAAAAACAGCCCACTTACAGAAGCCACCAGCTTCCCAGGCATTGAAGACCCAAGTCCATGGACACCTGTGTCTTCCCTATATTCCCCAACTCCACTGAAAAGGTGAACTCACTGAGGAAGGGGAGTCTGAACACCTGGAGTTTGTCCTCTCAGTTTCGGATTGTTTATAGTTTTGGTTATAAGGAGGAAGAGGTGAGAAAACCCAAGAAATATTTCTCTTCTCAAAGACTACCCCCAGTCTAGGTGTTTCAGAATGAATGTGTTGGACATCTCTGAACATATGGGCCTTTTCTCCCTATTAAAATGCCTTTCCTGACACCTCTTTCATCCTTGGGCAAGGCTTGAGATATTAGACCTAGAGAGGTCTATTTATTAATATTTACCTAGAGAGGTAAAAGCTTGAACCCAAGATGGTAAGACACCGTCCTTTTCTCATTACAGACTGAATCGAATGGGTAGACGGTAATGTTTTGGGTAAGAGAAGCTGGGCACAAAAGGGGACACACTTTCTGCTCACTGGGGATCTGCTGACAATTGCTATTGAATATGAAGTGCCTACTAGAGGCTGGGCTTTCATCTGAGTGGAGGTTTTTATATTTAATAACTCCCTGTCACTCTAGTCTGTTGAGGGGGAAAGGAACACATAGGTTAAGCAACTTGCTTAAGTCACAGGCTAGTAAGTAGCAGAGCTAGGACACGTAGTCAGGAAGTCTGGCCCTGAAGAAGAGCTGACTTCTCCCAGAGAGGTCAAAAGAGTCATTCATAAGTGTTAGTAGTTAGGATGTAGGTGAGGCTAGATATCCAAGTTCCGGATACTCAGCCTTTGGTTGGGGAGAGGCTTGTAATAAGCTCTGTGGGTGGGTATGCATGCACATGTATGCACAGCCACGTGTTTTGGTGGAGGGGGCAGGGGCTGAAACTTCCAGCTTGCTGGAGAAGATGGGGCCAGGTCCTCTGAGGTTTTAATGACTGTAATTTTCTCAGACGGGAGAAAGGCTGAGATGGAGTGAACAGAGCGCCTGCATTCTCTAGTCCCTCCGGTTAACATGGATAGATATCAATTCAACAGCCTGTGAAAACCAAAGATGAATGAAGACAGACATCAAATTCCCTGCTCGCCACAGCAGTTGCTGTGCTGAACCGAGGTACCATTCCCTGACTCATCCCCCCCAAATTAGGTTAATGTATTTCAGACTGGCTAAGCGCTGTAGAGAGTCCCTATGCCGAATCCCCTGGGAAGGGACCACACTTAGATCTTAGAGGCGTATTAACAGAGAGCTACAGACGAGGGCACTTTTTTTCTCCCCTCTGTGTGAAGAGGTGCCAGATTTCTCAGGCACTGGTGTAATCACCCAGATTCCCGCTTCCTGTCTGCTCAGCACCCTCCCTCCCCTCCAGAGACTGGCTGTAAGCTGCAGAACCCACCTGTGGCCGCACTCTCCGGGCAGCAGTTGCTGGTGCATTGGTCCCGCAGAACCGAAACCTCCCTCTCCAGCATCTCAATTCGGCTCAGCAGCTCCTGTAGCACCTGGGCCGAGCTGGCACACGGGCAGGCCTTCTTGGGGAGGTTGATCCTGTGTGTGAAGGTGACCTGGCTCTCGTGGTCCGAGGTCTGGCCCGTGTACTCCGTCAGCACCTCGTCTTCGGGGCTCACCTCGTGCTCTGCTGAGGCCTCCAGCCCCGAGGAGCAGAGGCTGTCCAGGGGCACGTTGATGTTGTACACGTGGTTGAAGACCACCGGCTGTTCCTTGCTGGATGCATTGTAGCTGGCAGCGCCTCCTTCCTCCTGCACTGCTGGTCTCTGGACCCTTTCCATGGTGACCTCCAGCTGACACCCCGAGGGCTTGAGCAAGCAGCCCAGAAGGATCAGGTTGACGCCAATGAGCACGTTCTTCAAGACCACTGTCTCCCCGTCTGCCCCCATCCTCTCAGGAGAGCTCCGGGTTCAAGACCAGCCTGCAGCAGAAAGCATGGAATATGCAAGAGAAACCAGGGGATGAACCAGAAGGCCTCTGAGACCTGCACCTGGGCACACTGCAGTGCACAGTCCTACAAAACTAAAGGATGGCAGTGAAGATTTTTAAGGGGATGTTTGGGAAGTGACTACCAGGGTCATGAAAGCCCAGAGCTTTTTGTCCTCTAGAGAAATTCCTGAGAATGGACATTGCTTTTGCAGAAAGGCATTTTGATTTTCCAAAAGGTTTATCTAGAACACATGAGTCTGGCCCCTCATTGGGCAGGTGGTTCCAACAAAGAGGACCTGCAAGGACTCGGACAGGGGCTCTGTGGATGGGAGAACTTAGAGCTTCATTTCACTTCTGAGAATTAGGATGCTGGGTACTATGAAGCCTTAGGCATACCCTCATATTTCCCCAGATGTGTATTAGGATGGGGCCCAGCCAGCCACTTCAAAAAAACTTATTAACTCCTCTAAGCTCATCTATTCAAATACAAGTTGACTTCAGAATAACCAAGCAGGCAGATAATATAGTTCCAGGTAATTGTGGTTGTTAATAATCCTTGGGTACATTTGTGATTATCTGGAACTGTGTAAGCTGAACTTTCTTTTAATCTTCTCATTAGTACAGTCCCAGTGCTTTGTGACCGCAGGGTGCCTTTCTTCCGAGGTCCTGTTTGAATTGCTAAAATAATGTATTAGCTCCTCTGCTGGTTACCTAGTCACCAAGAACCAGGAAGCATGATAAATTTACTACGATGCAAATCAGTTTTACAGAAATTATATTTCTTTTGTACTCCCTGTGTAACAGAGAAAAGAGGCTTACAGACTTTGGTTCTAAAGGTAATGTTAGAGTTAAGAAGATTAAGGACAAAGGAGCAGAGTGAAAATATATATATGAGTTTGGGAAGAAAGCAATGGATGACAGCTAACATCAACTGAATGTGTACTGTGTACAGACTGTGCTGCTCACATGGGATCTTACTTGACCCTCAGAACAACCTTATGATTGAATGTTATGATTGTCCCCATCTTGTAATGGAGTGAATTCTGCCTAGAAAGCTTAAGATTTGAATGCAGATCTGACTCCAAAACCTGTATTCTTAATGGCTATGCTCCAGTGCTTTTCCTGAAAAGAATGTTCAGTTTTCTCTAGTCTCTGATGGAAATTGTGTTAGTTCTGGGAATATTGAGATTAGAAAGTTTTGCTAGGACTAGAGCCAGTCTTTCTTCCTCCATGAAGCATTCTGCTCTCACTTTTTTATTCCTGTTCCCTCAGGAGGCTAAGGAACATCCCGAGCACCAGCTAAGATCATCCCTGGCTCCTTATAAACCCTCTCTGAGAGCATTGCCACACTAGACCATGAATTTCCTTTGCTTCTGCCCCTGCCAGCCCCACCTCCTACCTCCCCACACTGGACCCAAACTGCTAAGTCAATTTAGGTCAGATCACATCTTATCCACAGGCTTCCCAGGTGGCTCAGTGGATAAACAATCCATCTGCCAATGCAGGAGACACAGGAGATGTGGTTTGATCCCTGGGTCAGGAAGATCCCCTGGAGAAGGAAATGGCAACCATTCTAGTACTCTTGCCTGGAGAATCCCATGGACAGAGGAGCCTGGTGGGCTGCAGTCCATGGGGTCACATGACTGAGTGAGCACGCAATGCACATTTTATCCACAGTATTTAATATATGTGTAGGACAGCAAAAGTGCTTAATGTCATTGTTGTTGAATGAATAAGTGGGTGGATACATGGAAGGATGGATAAACAGGTGAATTAGTGAGTAAATGCCCGGTGAACAAAAGGCTGAATCATTCTCCAACTCATTTGATATCTTTGCATTATCCTCAAGTTATTCACTATTCTCTTCAATTTTGGTTCAACTGGACAATTTCTGAGGGTTGCTTTTATTAAGTGTAATCTGTATTTGTGACTATTATGAAAACCATTTCCAATATTACATTTTCTATGTTACATGTTAGACTAAAATCTTCATTTCCAATATGAAGAGGAAGCAGAGCAGAGTAGAGCTATTACGATTCCAGATTCTAGAGCCAGACTGCCTGGTTCTTCCTCTATCCAAGGACTCCCTTGAAATCACTGGAACATGTGAGAAATCCCCTCCACCATTTGACAGTGAAAAGTTCAACCTTACCATGACTTGGTTCAAAGAAGTGTGAGGTTCTTGGAAGGATGGGAGATGTGGCTATCCCCTGGCTACATCAGATGAGGTGAGCTAACCTTAAGGATAGATGGAGTGACATGTCTGAACCAAACTGCCCTCATGACTCAAATCTCTTTTCAAGCCCTTCTTTCTGAGGCATTACTAGGTTTCTTATTTTCAGATGCTCTAGGCATTGCATCCTTGGAGTGGCATCTGCCCTCATATCATTGAAAGCTTCTGATAAAAGTCATTTACACTTAAGGCTGAGAGTCTTAGCTACCTCATTTGCTAAACTAGAGTTGGACTGTCTGATCCATGTTGATATTGCTGAACAGCTTTTTTTCCTAAGAATTGTAAGATTGTCATGTAACATCCATAGCACTTAACATAGCTTTTTGCACAGAGCAGACACTCAATAAGTAAGTGAAAGAAATGAAAAGGAAGATTGGTGACAGGAAAATTAAAAGGGAAAAACGTTAGGTGCCACACCTAAGTCTAAAGCAACAACTACAAAATTATATGTAGAGAGAAAAGTAGAGCTTTAACTGTGAAAAACGCAAGACTTTCGTCAATAACCAAACTGACTATGAATTAGTCAACAGTGTGATTTTTTGTTACTTTCAAAGCTTTATTTAGACTCAGGCTTTATTTATTTATTTATTTACTTGTGTATATATTTATTTACTTATTTATTGAGGTACAGTTGATTTACAGAGTCAGGCCTCATTAGTTGCAATACAGACTATGGGACTTGATACCTACGTGCGTAAAGAATTCGCTTGCAGTGCAGGAGACACAGGAGACATGAGAACTGGATTCTATTCCTGGGTCGGGAAGATCCCCTGGAGGAGGAAAATGGCAACCTACTCCGGTGTTCTTGCCTGAAAAATCCCAAGGACAGAGGAGCCCAGCAGGCTACAGTCCAAAGGGTTGCAAAGAGTCTGACTTGACTCAGTGACTAAGCACAGATAGACCAGGCTGTTGTTTAGTCACTGAGTTGTGTCTGACTCTTTTGCCACTCTATGGACTGTAGCCCACAAGGCTTCTCTGTCCATGGGATTTTCCAGGTGAATACTGGAGTGGGTTGCCATTTCCTCCTCCAGGGGATCTTCCCAACCCAGTGATCGAACTTGCATCTCCTGCTTGACAGGTAGATTCTTTACCACTTAGCCTCCTGGGAAGCCCAGACTAGGCCGAGCAGGGGGCTATTTTGCTCTGCCCTGCATTCACTGTTGATGACTTCTGGGTGGTGAGGATGCTGAAGGTACTCAAAATCCTGTCATAGGAGAGGGAGGAGTTTAGCATTCTTGTCCAGAGAAGTGATAGCTCTGAAGATATTGTTCTTTTATCATTCATTCCTTTGACAGATATTTATTGAGTACCTACTATTGCACTGGTTCTTTATTCGCAGAAGTTATATTTAAGTGTGTGTGTAGGGGGAAGGAGTGGCAGGGGGAGGACAAACAACACATCAATACCCACAATTACATTGTGTATCGTACGTAATATATGATATAGTGCATATTATATGATATTTTAATACATGATGATGTAACATTCATTTGTGTGTGCTGTGTCAGCAAGTGGTAAATGCAGTGAAGGAAAGGAAAACAGAAGGGAACAGCGGAGGTACCAGGCCAGTAGAGTAACATGGACATGTTATGGAGCCTGGCCAGGGAAGGTTGGTTCCAGGAGGTGACCGCTTAGCAGAGACCTGAAGGAAGTGAGTACTGAGCTTAGCAGACAGCTGAGGAAGAGCATTCCAGGCACGGGGAACATCAAGAAGGAGGGCTCTGATGCAGGAGTCGGCCTGGTGAGTTTGAGTGACAGCGAAACTGGAGGCCAGTGAATGAGGGAGCGGCTGTGCGGGTGAGGTCAGAGAAGGAGTGGGGGCCAGATCAGAGAAGGCCTTGTGAACCATCATAAGGACCTGGGCTCCTACCGTGGGGTGTATGTGGTCAAATGCCTCCGCACACCAAGTGTTTCTGATGACCTCGTCCCTATCTTTGAGAAACAATCGGCCTCATGAAAGAGATGGAAAGACAAGAAAATACAATGCCAAGGCGCTGTGATCATGACCAGGAAACACACAAAATGCCCCTGAGAAGGCTGGAGGTGACCCAGCAGCTTTGCCTGGGGCGCAGGGGGAAGCTGAGCAGAGGGTGCTGGGTAACCGGCAGTGACAGTTCCAGGTATTTCTGGCCCACCTTTCCAGACATGTGGTAGGACTACACCTTCCAGGACTGTTTTCCCGGCCCCTGGTGGTAAGGTGAGGCCATGTCACTAGTACTGGCCAATGGTTGTGAGAGGAACTCCTGGGGATCACTTCTTTGGCTGCTGCTGCTGCTCAGTTGCTGGCAGGGGGTCATGAATCGCGGACTGGTGGCTTTCCAGGTGGCTCAGTGGTAAAGAATCCACCTGTCAGTGCAGGAGACGCAAGAGACTTGGGTTCAATCCCTGGGTCGTGAGGATCCCCTGGAGAAGGAAATGACAACCCACTCCAGTATTCTTGCCTGGGAAATCACATGAACAGAGGAGCCTGGTCGGCTATAGTCCATGGGGTGATTGCAAAGAGTCGGACGTGGCTAAGTGACTGAGCACTACCCTCTAGAGCTTTCTTCTTTGCATTGATGGTGACTGGCAATGTTCAAGATGTGACTGCTTTCTCACTCTGAATGACTATGATGTAGGGTGTCCTGGCTGGGTACAGTGGATGTTCAGTGCACAAGAGAGAAATAAACCTTTGGTCTTTGCGGTACAGATGTTGGTATGACTTTTCCCTACAGCATAACTTGGTCT